GGGGGGCAAAGAGAGAGAGAATGAGTGAGAGAGGGATCGGGCATTGTTTCGGTCCATTGTTTCCCAAACAAACGGCGTCCACGTTGTTTCGTCAGGAGATATTATGTTCAGCCAGACAGGCAGGACGAACGGGAAATGGACTGCTGTCAGTTTTACTCTTCGTGATAAATACCCGTTGCCGTCGCCGCCGCCGTCGCCATAATTCCGTCCATCCGTATTGCACGGTGCACGTCGAAGTTATAGTTGCGATGACAAGACTGGGTTCCTTTTTATTTATCAAAAATGTTCCCAAATCACTTTAAATTCATAAAATCTTGAATGTGTGCGTGTGTGTGTGTGTGTAAAACCCAAGTTATTAAGATTCCGATTATTAAAATTTATGTTATACTTCCGTTACTTATTTTTCTGAAAAAACAATTGAGATCGCGTTCTCTTTTCGAGTATTTTCAATTCTCCTAAAATAAGATTGACAATCACACGAGAAGCGATCAGCTGAAATGAATCGCCTGCAGGAAATCCTCCAGGGCATCGACGATTTTTTTCTCGCGTGGAGACTCGTTTAAGGAACAATGGTACCGGCTGGAGAGCTATTGCAAGGATCGTAAAGGGACTTTACGAGACGGCGTTATATTATTATTCCGCTCGAGGCGAGGCGAGCGAGGCGATAGAGCGCGCGGATCACTTGGACGTCGACGACGCGTCGACGACGCGTCGTCACCGTCGTCACCGTCGCCGTGGAGAGACGATCTCGATTTCACGCGGCGCGCGAGGGAAGGCCGGTTTACGATTCATAAGACAACTCGGCGGATTGAATTAAGCTCGCTCGCGCTGCGGCAGCTGCCAGTCCCGTCCGCCACCGGGCGGGCGGCGCGAATCTGCATAATCCCGTTCGCGTCGACGATTCTAATTGGCGGATTGTTTCAATCTCTGTCGCTGCGAATATTTGCATTCACGCTGCTCTACCTCCCTCGGCCCTGCCGCCCTCGTTCCCGCCCCTGGTACCCTTCGCCGTACCGTCGCTACCGCTACCCTTTCCCAAACTCTGATCCCGTGTATCTTTCTCTCTTCGTCCTTCTCGTCTCTTCTTTCTACCCCTGTAACCTCCTTTCGGCATTCACTTTATCGTCACTATCTCCATCGCGAGATGTGAAGCGTATCAAATAATGGACCACACACGCGCGCGTCTCTTATTTGATTTTTATTCAACTTGATAGTATATATTTCTCTCCTTTCTTACATTATCATTCGTACGTACTACATACAAGATTCGTGTAGTCTTTCTATCACTTTGATTGATGTGATTAGACTTTTTTTTCATATAATATCTCTCTATGCCATTTATACATATAATATAGTTGTATATACGTGTAGACGTTTATCGCGTAAAATCTCGCATCGCTGTCATTTCTATTTCCAAGATGGTAGTGGCATTCTTTTTAGTGATATTTTTTTCTTCGTTTGGGATGTAGTATTTCCTAAAATAAAATTGTAAAAGAAGTATTTTGATACGATTGCCGTCGTCCAATTTGTGGCAGCCTGTTTCATTTCGCATTGTTGGATTATACCATGGATGCGCGTTTCTTTTGCCCTCAAGGCGCAGCTCTCGATGCTTTCGATTGCTAACTATTTTTTCGCATATTTTTTTACAGTTATCTTGTCCAAAAATATTGTTTGAAAATATTAAAAAAATATGTCTTGTACAACATACGATGTACGCGCATCTTGATCCAAAAATATCACCAAAAATGTCAATCTGTCTGAGAATCTGCAGCTATTTTGGAATCAAGTCAATCGATATCTTATCAAAATTGATATATAATGCATTAGTTTGTAAATATTTGTAATGTGTAAAAGAATAGATTGACATCACTTTCAAAATAAGTAAGTAGTTAGTTTAATTAACTGCACCATACACTAATATATTATCTAAAACAAGTTAAAATCTTTTTATACCGATTAGGTTCACGCTTTACAGTTAACTCCTTTAATTTCTCTTTGAGAAGAGATGTACGACTTTTACTATTCACATAAATATTTTTATTACGGGGCACTCTCGCAGCAAGCTCTTGTCCTTATTTTGCATAAGGAGAAAAAGCCGTCGGTTGCAGCAGAATCTGAGCTTTTTTACGGTTGAACTCTCTGCGTAATTCAAACGTCCTATTCTCCGTGTCATACGAAGGAACGCGCTCGCCGAATGACTCCTGGACGTATCTTGGAGATCTTGCACCCCCAAGAAATAAAATAATCCATCTGACACCACTCTTCCACCATTTTGAACAGATTTTATACCTCGATATTTTGCTATTGCTATTATTAACTTTAACATTATTCAGAGCCATTTTAAATAAATTTTTTCAAAACGTCAAAAACTGCAATTAGATTACTACAAAAAAACTATAGAGATGTATCCACAGCTATCGATATTTATTCAAATTGTCTTAAAAAATTGGAAAAATTTTATTCTCAAAAAAGACAATGTCAATTTAATAAAAGTCATTAATTAAAGGAGAATGAGAGAGAAAGAGAAAGAAAAAAGAGAGTTAAATATTATTTAATTTACAATTAGTAGTTAAATTAAAAATTAAGTCTGTTTTCGCGAATTTGAGAATTGAAAGAAAAATTATGCGTGTTCTGCGCGAGATTGAACCTCTATCATAGACGTAATATCGACAAAGAATATGCAATAATTGTTACGCGGTGAAAATTATTGCAGCCATCGTGGTAATCACGATAATTGCATTATATTCTTATACAGCAAAAGAAAACAACGCATTTGCGGAATTGATCGTTTTGATTATCATGCAGATGTGATATACAGGCACGATATGCAGGCAGATGTTGAACGGGAAGCACATGAAATAGCCATTTAAGCGGTACAATCGCAGCGTCATTACATGACGCGTATGGCGCGTATAATAGATGTAACAGAGAATCGCGTCACTCCATAAAGAAAAATATGTCATCCACATTGAAAAAAAGGTCAGAAAAAACGAATCCAAAATGATTCAACCAAATATGAATAAGAAATTATAAAATTATTGACGCGAATAAATTTATAGTTTCCCACTCTAAACCTCTACCCGTGCGCAAACAAATCACGCTAAAGACCTTTTTATTTCGTATAACAATTAATTATTTACACGACAATCTTTGCTATAATGAAAAGATATTAAATATGTCGTCTCTAACTCCTAGTTTCGCGTCTAATTCTTGACTTTTCTGCATTATCGCGCGAATGCTCAATGACACGCGATGAAAAGGCGATCTTCAAAAGTCACGCTCGTGCAAGATCGTACTAGAAGTTGCGTTCTTCATTTCGCGTCCATTCTTGATGCTTTTCCGCATTATCGCGCGAGTTGTCGATGGTACGCGATGAAAAAAAAAAACGGTTCTCAAGAGTCGCACTCACCTGTACGCGCGACGACGCGACGGGGCGAACGGCGGGATCCTCAAAGTTGGCGCCGCTTGGTATACGACGATCCACCGGTCACCCGAGATGACGATCTATAGATCCTTGTCGTGTCCAAGGGGCACGGGACTCGACGGGAGTGTCGACGCGTGCCGCTGGCCGTGGCGGCAAATGAGATAATAATCGGAGGACTCAGTCACTCGTCGTCGACGGCTGCGTGGCAGTCGGGATGGTTGTTCGACGATGGTGCGGTGGCGGCAGCGGTGACGGTGGCGGCGGCGGTGGGGGTTGTATTCCATCCCTTGGCGACCGTCGGCGACGAGGGTGCGAGAGAGTAACGGGGAGCGCTGTCTGCAGTGGAAGAGCGTGCGAGGGAGGTAGAGAGAACGAACGAACGCGAGGGGTCGAGAGGGGTAGTGGAGGAAGAGGTGGAGGAGGAGGAGGAGGAGGAGGAGGAGGAGGGCTAGGAGGCGGGAGGGTGGTGGTTTTTGAGATGATCCGGCCAATCTGCGCATCATTTCCCCGATGTACCCCCCTGCGCCGAGCCGCGCGCGTAGCGGCAAACCGGCGCGGATTCCGCACCACCGCAAGCAGCGTGGAAGCCCTGTTGAATGCCACATTTCGAGGCAAAGACGAAGTGGGAGAGGGAGAGGGAGAGGGTGCCGCAGGGTGGAAGCGAGGGAGGGACCGCGACGCGAGCGTTCGCGGCGCGAAGAATGGAACGGGTGGAAGATAGAGACAGATAGAGAAAGAGTAGCGCGCAACGAGAGAGGAGGGCGGCACTAAAAAGTGAAGAGGGAAGAGTAACGCTGAGGGGGAGAGAGGCGCCGGCTCTCTCGCGGTAGCCCTGCTCGGGAAAAAAAGTGGAAAACAGATATAGGCGAGGAGGAATCTTTCTCTCCGGCGCGGCGCGGCGGGTGCGCGCCACCGTACCTCGGCCGCTTCCCTTCCCGGCGCAGCGCGCGGCGTGTCTCTTCGACGAGGGGTACGTACAACATATACGTATATCCGATACGTATGTATACGTGTTTACACGTCACCGCGAAGGAATCGGATCGAGTATGCCTCCGTCTTTAAAGCCGGATGAAATTGAAAAACTCGCGTCATGCAGTTTGCCACGAATCCCCCGCGGTTCCTCGCGCTATAAACAATGAGAGAGCGTAGAACGCAGGAATTCCATCTTATAGCTGGATATAAGAGAAAGATAAGATCATCGGAACGTTCCTGACAGTCGCTGTTTTATATCGTTCGTGTACGACAATCTTGCAAAGATAAGTTTTCTAGGAACAAAAACCTCTTTTTTGCTCTTCTAAAAATCTCTATTTCAGAAAATAATTTATTAATCGTCCAATTCCAAATTAATTTTCTATTTTATTATATAGAGAGTGAGATAATAGAGAGAAAAAGATTTGTTATATAAATAACTTTGCGAGACAGGACGAATTGTTCGTAAATTAAATTATAAACTTGATTTAATCTTTCTTTTTGAGACAGCGAGAAGAAAGCGAGAACATTCGTGAGATGAGATCGCGATCTCTCGTGCGCATCGTTAATAATACCGCCGCGATCGCGTTCGAACTCTTCACGTTTGGATATGGATGTTAAAGGATATTGGAGCTTTTGTCGATGCGTTCCGTGCGCAAAAGAGCTCGCAGAACCATGCACGGAAATGCACGACGTACTTTTCAATAGGTAGAAGAATCATACACGCATGATCGAATGTAACACACGTCGACTCCGTCAAATTTACTGCTCATCGAAAGAGTACAATCGCCGTATTATCGCCGTGTCTGCAAGAATCTTTTACAAGAAATAATTCATGCCGCTTTTTCGCTTTTTTTCTAAATAATTATTGAGAACTTTACCGGCTCGAAATCACGATATCACGGAAAAATCGACTTTTTGTAACTTTGCGATGCACGTTTCATTCGCGAAAATTGGGTCTTCCTTGACATACGACATTGACAATTTCAAATCGCAAAACTAATTTATTAAGGAATGCTTATCTCATCTCGCGTCACTTATACGCATGCATGGCTTGAAATAAATAATTTCGTTTTTTTTTCCATATACTTATTTCAATAAATATAACGACGCAACACATAAATTATTTTGATAACATCATTAGGTTTTCCTTCGAAGACGGTAATTAGTTCTTTTGTAACGTGCGAGCGGTCGATTAATGGGAGGGAGATAAATAATGCGCCGAAAGTTTATCGCGGCGCGTTGCGCGCATTTATTATTTATCAAGACTTTTCCTGCGGCGCGCAGTCGCGCTCTCTTTATCCGACACAGAGGCTGGATGACCACTTACGTCACACCGTACGTGAAACGATGCTAATTGGTCCGCCGCGAGGGGTAGCAACGCGTGAAAGCGCTCGCCTCGTACCCACTCGTCGCCCAAGTCGACGCTCTGCTTCTACCCTTCGCCCCTCTCGTCGGCCGATTCGACGTGGACGGGGACAGGGTAAATCCGTGCACGCACCCGCGACACGTTCCGCTCGTTAATTATGTAAAGAATTTCACAGATTTGTCTCTCTGGCACATACCGCGTGTACCGCTAAACACATGATTCGCCGGATCTTGCAATTTTATCTTTCAATATCGATTGACATTACTTCCAAATTAAATAAAAAATTAAGCGCAAATACAAATGATGTTTTTGGAAAATGAGAAAGATATGGGAAATGAAATCCGAGTTTTTCATTCAAGATTTCAGATGCGCTTGAAAATACAAATCATAGTTCGATTAGAGCTTAAGAGAAGAGCGAAGAAAAAGGATATTGTCAAGTTTTCGAGATTAGTTTTCTGGATAACAAAGCTACGCGCGAAAATTTATTCTACGATGTCTCCTTAATTATCTTTTAAATTATCACTTTTCCAATCGTGTCATTCGGTTGCGGACAATGTGTATGTATATTATATTTAATAGCCTATATCTCAAATGTATTTGGAATCACTTTCAATCTGAAATGCTCTTTCAACAATGAATAACTCTGAGTAAATTAGGGGAGAAGGATGAGACGCATATGGATATGAACTTTAGGAGCGACTTGCAGCGCGGCAATTTGAAATCGTTGCTCCTAAGAGAGAAAGTCGAAAGGGGAAAGGGAGACATCATGGGTACGATCGTGAGTCGACGGTAAAGACAGCTCGCCCTTCACGGGCGAGCACCCTAAATTTCATTCGACGATTCGACCGAGGCACCGAGAGTCTCTTCTGGCTCTTCGGGGCTCGAGGAGGTAGCACGAAGAGGAAAAGCGAGAGAGAATGAATGAATGAGAGAGAGAGAGAGAGGGGGGGAGAGAGAGAGAGAACGGGTGCGCGGGGAAACAATTTACCCGAAATTCGCCTCGTCGCGCGTTCGCCGACTGGATACACTCTTATTTGTCCCCGCGGCAATCTGTCCCCGACTGCAACCCTTCTCCCAGCTTTCTCCGTACCACCGCCACCACCATCGCCACCACCACACCTTTTCCGTCGGCCCCTGCAACCCCAATCTACCCCCTTTCCGGATTCCCTAACGCTGGCCACCGGTATCGGCTGTCTTCTCTCGCGACGAAGAGAGCGCGGAATCGCGCTTCAAGTCTCACGGGAATTTTAAACACCGACGAATCGTCAGTACTCTCTTTCTTCGGTCTTTCATTTTCTTTTCTTTCACGATCCTTTTCACCCGTCTTTCTTTCTCTCAACCCTCGGTAGGCGGAATTCGAGAATGCCTCTTAGCCGATATGGATACTCGGCACAATGCAGTTGCGACTAGATCTCTCTAGTATCTCCACCCCCCCCCCCTTTCGCCTCTTGCCACGTTACTCGTACGAAAATCGAAAACATCATTGGCCGCTTCTCTTGATAACGCGCTATCTTTCAAGGACGCGACATCGCGTGCATCTCGAAAGTCTGCGATCGTTCATTCTGTATGTTTCTCGCAAAGGAGGGCTTAATCCGAGCTTAGCGAATCACGATTGAGCGAGGGTGACGCATTATTCCGTAATAATGTGCATTTAACGACCGGGACTCCTGTAAATTAGAAACTCTGTGTGGCGTGAGACCATTTAAAATATCTCTTCTATAATTAAATATTATCTAAATCTCGATGTTCTTCGTGTAAATCTTTTTTTCATCGTGCCAAAACTTATTATAATCGAAGGGCTCAGCGAAATGACAAAGAGGACGGAAACCTAGTGAGAATACGACCTTCGTATTTAAAGAGCAGCGTGTAAATATATAATTCGCAAGATTTAAAGACGTGTCCACGTCAAAAGTGACTCTCGTGAATCACGTCGACTTATACCTCGTTCTTATATGATCTCTTCAGAGACTCTTGATTCTCGGTTGGGTGCGAGTCGGCTGACGGCCGCGCGCTCGTTTAATCGAGATTTATCCTTGTTGTTGCGCATCTGTCGCTTCGCGCGCGCGGGACGCGTGAATGAGATGCACGCGGGAGAGCAGAAAGGAGGAGGCGGTTTAAGAGAAAAGGGACGAGAGATGAGGAATCACTCGAGTCGCGCGCTCGTAGTGAGAGCTCGCAGCGGGGTGCGTAATATTCCCGGGAAGTAAAGCTCCCGAGAATTTCCAGCACCCCCTCTGCTCTCTCCCACTTCCGCACCCACTTGCTTCTCACGTCCCCTCCTTCCTGTCTCCATCTACCACTCGTCCTCTCACGCGGCAGGCAGAACGGTAGCTAGAGAACGACGGCCGCCCCTCCGACTACGAAGGGATGCAAATAACTGGTGATAACAACAGATAGCTCCGCTGTATGGTACGCCTGCCTGAAGCTTGCCGTGGCGTGTGGGTGACTACGATGATGGTAGTGGTCGCCGATGGTTTGGGTTTTGACGGCAGGAAGGGGGTGGCGTAAGAGAACCAAGCGAAAACGGGGACAAGTGAGAGATACGAGAGAAAGAGAAAGAGAGAGAGAGAGAGGGGGGGGGAAAGGGGAGGAGCGGGAGAATCAAGCTTGAAGAGTAGGCCAGAGGGAGGGTTGAGGGACAGGCAGGCAGGCAGGCAGGCAGGCAGGCAAACAGGCAGGCAGGCAGACACGCAGGCAGGCAGGAATCGTAGAGCCGCGGAAGAGAAGAGGTAGAGCGATGGGAGCGGTGGCGGTGGCGGCGGCGGTGGCGGCAGCGGCAGCGTCGAAGGGGGTGTCGAGGGGGTGACAACAGAGACCGGATGGAAGGTAGAGTAGATGGAAGAGTGGTAGTCTCTCTGCCGCCGTCTCTGTCGGTCCGTCGTTCCAATCGTGCCTGTCTCTCCTCCTCCGTCCAACTGTATCCGAGTTGCAGGGTAGAAGGGTGCGAATTGGAGCGATGAGGATGAATCGTCACGCGAGAGAGGGAGAGAGAAAGAACAAGCGGGAGAGAAAGGCGAAAGAGGGGGTCTTACGGGGGTGGCCGCAACCGTGGGCTCGGCAAGGGGGAGAGGCAGAGGGTGTTGGGGGACGTCACTCGCTGTCGCATCGAGCGCGAGCGATGAGTGGCGCGCGCTCGCTCGTCTTTTGTTTGCGATACGATGCGACTGCCAGCCTGGTGACAGCGACGACGTGGTGCGGCGTCGGGGGACGACACGGGGCGGTTTAGGGAGGATCGGGGAACGGTAACGACAAGGGGGACGCGCGCGC